ACATTCATGTATTTAGTTTAGGTGGGAAATACAGTGAATAAACCTTAAAGTCCTGTTATTCCCATATTTGACCATTAGATGGGGTAGTAAACACGAGTAAAAGCATAACACCGCTCAAAACGACACAGCATTAGCTACACTGTTGTGCAATATTAACGATCTAAGCATTAGTAATCTGACCAAAAAACACAACGCTAACAAATGAAATTATTAATCAATATATAGATATTTTAACTTAAGACACGTTGTTCTTTTGAATACTGTATTTATATTTTAAAAACACCCTACTCTAAAACACTTTACTTTGTTTCAGCCTCAAATTTCGTGTAAATCTGCCAGTAAATTTCATTACCCGCATAGCCAACACGGCTCGACCTTTTCTTAGGCTATTAAATTTACATCTTGTTGTGTGTAAGATTTAATTTCAGGGTCATAAGCAGTTCTGGAGATATAAGGCAGGAAGAGTGGATGAGCCCCTGCTTATAGATACTGTATTGAGGAAGAGTTTTGGGAAATGTTTATGAAGACACAGCGAGGACATTTTTGGGAGGATGTACGGTCACAGTTGAGGAGAATACTAGGATATAATTTGCCCAAGACTTTTGAATCATTATATTTGGGAAATTTGAACAGAGAGGTGGTTTCTGGCAATAACATATACTTGAAAATTTTACTAAAAGCGGCCAAAAAGTCAGCCACCAGGAGATGGTGTAAAGAAGAGCCTCCCACCGTGGATAACTGGAAGGACACTGTCGAGGAGATATTTGACTTTGAAAGACTTACGCACAAAGTAAGGATTCAACAAACGGTTTTTGTGGAAAAATGGGCCAAGGGGACCACATGTAATTCTCTTCTCGGAGGCACCATTGGGGATATGGAAATCTAATGTTCAGAGTTGTATGCTCGATTTATGCGTGACACTGGTATGATTACTTGTTTTTGTCTTTGACTTATTTGTTTGTATTGTTTGGAAAATTAATAAAAAATTTAAGTTATATAAATAAATAAAAACAAACTACAGCGAGGGGCGGATGTCTGAGGGTGCAGCTCCCAGTGCGGCCCGTTAGATAGCGGGTCTTAGATAGTGGGTCTTAGATAGCGGGTCTTAGATAGCGGGTCTTAGATAGCAGGTCTTAGATAGCAGGTCTTAGACTTCACTGTGCCCTTGATATTTTAGTGATGTTGATGAATATGATCCCGAGATCTGGGAAGTCGGAGTCTGGTTTTCCGTCGCCGCGAGTTACGGACCCCGAAGGGCATTCGGTGATGATGTCAGCAACAAGGCAGCCAGGCAGTTATTAGTTCAAGGAGGGCCCGGGGTGGGATGGGGTTGGAGCACCACAAATGGGATCTGGAGACATAGTTGGAAAGCATGGAAGACACCCCCTTGCCTGGTGGGGTGGGGGGGGGGGGGCTGCCAAGGAACAGTCCAGGTCAGAGTGGCAACGGCACGGCTGCCAGGGTGACAGAGAAGTTGAAGATATGCAGTGATACAAAAGCAGAAATAACCATCTCCGTGTCATTTAGCAGGGGATTGGGGTCAGACCAGAAAGGAGGCAATTAAAAAACAGTTTCACAGGGTTCCAGTACCTTCCATTTTGTGTTTACAGGATCATGAATAAACAGGTAGTATGTTTACAAAAGAGCTTCTGAGAAACACGTGCAGAACAGGCACAGCTACCAAACACATGCAGCGGCACCACCTGCCCAGTCAATCCCAGCAGTCAGACAGGGATGAGGCCAAGGAAGCAGGAAAAGGGATTAGACTCACCCCCACATGGCACGTAACTAAAGCTGGGGATCCTGGGAGACGGCGGAGGTGGAGCGGGCCGGTAAAGGAAGCCGAGGTGGTGGGGATCGAGGCAAACGGAAACGAACGTGGATCATGTTGATTCACGGCCTCTTATTGACTCCAGCAAACCGCAGACACTGAATCCAGCCAGTGGAATCACAGATCTGAGATGGCAGGTTTAAAAGGATGGGCAACCAAATGCGTGCAATTACTGGAAATTTAGTCCATCTCGGCATGTACATACCAGACCAGGGCTGTGTCCATGTGGCGCCCAAGGCTAGTTTCACCCACGGGAACCCCCCCCCCCCCCCCACCCCAAACAAAGTGGTCTTGGCTTGCTAATCCACACCCCTTTACTCCCACCTTTGTCGCCCAATGGTTTGACCCACCCTGTACTGGACTTTGATGCTGAGATCTGATATTTTTGTATTTTCCCTCTGGGTGGCATAATGATTAAGGAACTGGGCTAACTCACAGGCATGGCACTACCACCTTAAAACACACAATGCATAAATAACCATGATTATTGTATTTCAAATTAATTTATGAACCTGTAAAATAAATAAAGCATTTGTTCAGGAAATAAATTATGGTATTAATAATGGTGATGAGGCACAGGGAGACAAGGCAAGGCTGATGATGGAGATGATGAATCGTTTGAATGAAGAAACTGGAGTAATCAATACAAATTTTGAAAATACATTTGCAGCTAGAGGGTAAGCGCATGTGAAAATTCTGATATATGGATGTTAGATGGAAAATAAAAGAGGATTTATTTTTGGACCTCTTTAACTGGGTGGGTATCAAGACTTTGCAGTTGCCAGATTAGAAAAGTACACTAATTTTTGACTACTAGGTATCATCCACGATTCGTGGGCCAGAAATTAGACGTATTACGGTATCCGAATTAAATATTATTCTTGATAATCAAAATTAGTTTAATTTACAACGCGAAACCCAGCACTAAGAACGAGATATATTTTCAGAAATTAACAACAAAGACATTGTCACAGGTGTTATACTACCGATCTTCCACGGTCCCGCGCTGTTTCCCAAGTAAATGCAATATGAATCGATTGTTTCTTGATGACATAATGGTCCTGATGTAGTTAGTGTCGCCGCCTGCTGGACAGTATGTTACATCTTTCAATTACGTCAGATAAAGGTCCGGTTTATTTGAGGTACCAAACGATAATAAAAACGTGTGATATAAATATATGTTAGAGTTGCACAAGACTCAGCGTAAATGCCTTTACAGATTGCACTTGCCCTTCACGTTTAGCCTTTGATTTACAATTCAAAAGCTGTTGGTAGGGATAGTACTGAGAGACATAATGTAATGAAAGACAGTGTATATATCGGCGAATTAAAACGATGGTAATAGTAAAATGTGAATGCTTTGGGTACAGTTCATAACCATAAAAACGTTTTGTAATTTTATTGCTACCACATGCCATCCAAGCAGGTGTTTTATATTGAATAAAGTAAGTCATATTATAAATATTAAATTATCCAAATTGCATTTCAATCTTTGGCTTGACAGACGTTGAAACCACAGTGTGCTGTAGTTTTTTATTTTAAAGTCACATATAACAACAGTTCGATTTTATATGTTTTAATCTGGTATTGAAAACCTCTAATTTGTCTTTACAATCTAATTAAAGACGATTGGCGTTTGTGTGAATATATAACATTGTAGCAGCCACACTGAATAAACCATACACCGCTGTCCGTGGTCCTGGATCAGTCGTATCCGGTGTCGTCATTCGTACAATGTTGTATCAGCTCTGGCAGAAATAGAGCACAATGTTTTCTCCCTTAGAAAACGAATGTGACTGAACATAATGTACTTTCCAGAAACGCTAACTTTTTTTTTCTTGAGGCATTGTTTTCTTATATCAATAGATTTTTTTTTAATCATAGCCTAAGATTAATTCATTCACTTTTAAAACAATTGCTTGACTGTGTGTGTGTGTATGTATGTATGTATGTATGTATGTATGTATATATATATATATATATATATATATATATACACACACACATACATATATATATAAATAAAATCTTCCTTCTGCATTTAAATGAACTTTTTTCACTTGGAACTGCCTTGCGGAATGACAGTATCTATGCAGGTCTTCTGTATTAGACAATCATCGGCCAACTTCATACCCAATATAAAGACACAGGGGACTTGGAGTGTATCCCAACTAGTAGAGTGGTACACCCTGGACGCCATTCCAAGTCAACGCAGGACACAAACTATGGGAAACCTAAAGCTGCGAGTTCGCCTAATAGCATGCTTTTGGACTGCTGGAGAGAACCTCATAGAGATCATGCAAGCGCTACACGCGCGTAGCGGAGGTGGGCTTTGAACCCCCAACCCTACAGGTACAAAGCAGCGGCAGTCCTACCCGCAGAGACACCGTTCCACCCTTTGTAGCCTCCTGTTTGTTAATTTAAGCATATGCCTGTTTCTCTTTGAAACACCCACGGTATTCACGGGGGTACTGGAAGAGAGAATGGGAGAAATATTCACTGCACTCGGTTTATCAACAAGTGACGGACCAAATCCTCTAAATTCACAGTGACCGCTGGCTGCGAACATCGCGCCGATCGTTGTCAGGGTCGTTATTATAAAACGCCTATAAAGCGAAATCTGAAGCCGTCCATCACGGCGGCTCCTGGCGAGCGTCTTCAATGAATGGGGAGAGCGGCGAATTGGCAGACGGGGACGCGCGTACGAGAGAGATGGGCTCGTACTTTCATCAGTGTCTGTGCCCCCGTGCACGAGCCCGGAGGGAGAGGTGTGCGCGGCGTGTATAGAGGGGAGGCGCGCTACCAGCCCGCTGAAATAAGGGAAGGGAGAGACACTGCGATCACATACGGTGAGACCCCATTCTCAAATGAGTAAGCGCGCCTCCGTTCGGGGGAAGGTACGCGCTTGAGGGGCTGCGGTCCCATTGACTGTTCCGTCTCCCAGGCAGCAGGCAGCATCATCATCAGCAGCGCGGAAGGAGAACTGCACGGTCTCCGCCTTAACCATCAGCCAGCGACCGAGCCCGAACACGGAGAAAGGGACAGCGCCGATCAGCCAACCCGATCAGGGCTCCCTCAAGCCTATATATCATCTCCTGGCGCTGAGATGCGCTGCCAGTAACTTGAGGTGGAGGGGAGAGGCGGACAGGCGGGGGGTGGGGGGGTGAGAGAGAGAAGAGAGAAAAGCCGAATAGAAACCAAAGCACGGCCGTGGGTGCCCGCAACCATGAAAGGCTTGCACTATACCAGAGAGCTGCGGCTCTGCCCGTGGACTATGTCGTGAGGAGTGCCTTTCGACGCTCGGCTTTTGGTCACGAAAACGACACGCCAAGGAGGGGTAAAAAATGTCCGCCTCTGTGGGGCCCCAAGGCGGCCCTCGCCCACCCACCGCGCCGATGAGCATGCCCGATATTCCGGACCTCAGTCACCTCACGGAGGAGGAAAGGAAAATAATAATGGCAGTGATGGTTCGACAGAAGGAGGAAGAGGAAAAAGAAGATGCCATGTTAAAGTAAGGGGAAGTCATTTCCGTTCGCACTGCCATTCAAAAACTGTTGTGTCTCTGTCCAAAAGGCAGGTTAGTTCCCATCCGCCATCATCTGAGCTATTTCTCCAGTTTGTTAACAATTTCACCTGATTTCCTCTGTGCCGATTACAACACAATCTTTGCTGTAACGATGGTCTGCTCAGACGCACGGTGCATAGCGTGAGCCGGTAACTTCCCAGGCTTTAAGATTTCCGTAATGATTCAGTTAAATTAATGCGAACACACAAGCCGGCTCAGCTCTGTGATTTGCGCGATCGGAGGAGCCCCATGGTGACCCCTGGAAGGATTCCCTCGATTGTTAAATGCATCGCCGAACAGGGGTAAAGCGACACATGCGTGCACTTTAAATCCAGCCCCGACATACGTTTCACGGAGAAAGGCAAAGGCTCCGCTTGGTTGAGAAGGAGCGAGCTTTTGCCTGAAATGAAGAGAGTCGGATACAGTTACAGGTGTAACTTGGGTATATCTGAAAAGAAGGGGTGTGACAGGGAAGGGGGAATGACCAAAAACAACAACAACAACAACAAAACATCAGCAAACAATCAATAACAATCGATGCATTTGTCCCCCTCGATTACACTAATGGTTAGATTTCGCTACACCTCTTCATTCCCCCTGTATCCGACACGGAGCATGATGATCGTCGCGTCCTCTCTCATTACATCTCAGCACCGCTCCCCGAAGCAGCAGGTCTATCAATGTAGGGAAAATCCCCACAAATAGCGTTTCAAAATAAAAGGGGCGGCTTTGTTTAGGCCACTACGTCCCAAATCGTTTTGTTCTGCTGCACGGATATAGTGCATTTTTGTAATCAAATGCCCCGAAGTGGATGCCGTTTTCCTCCATCAAGGAGCGGGGTGTGGCTGATCGTTTCAGTCCGCCGTAGGCCAGCACTTCTCCGGTTAAACATGTGGAAAAGAGCACTTAAAATGTCATTTAGACAATACCCACCCGTTTCATTTTTCAAAGGATGATTTGATTTGGGATCGTTTCGAAAGCTTTTTTTTGTGATCGGTTTGTGTCAGTGGCCGTTGTCCCCATCGTCGTGTTATACACACTCACCGTCTGGTGTCTTCCCATCAGAAGCGGAAAATCGTTTGACTTGGCATCGTGACCGAATGTAAAACTGCATTTAAACTCCTGGCATACGTTTCCCAATAAATACAGCAGAACAAAACGCATTTATTCAGCTGTCAAAACAAAGCACACCGTTCAGGTGGTAAAGCATATGATAGACTAACATTTATACAGATCCGATGTGTTTTGCGTCGATTTTCAGACAGGAATGAAGTACTACGGTTCACTATCGAATCAATATTTTAAACGGGTTTAACCATTTAATGTTAATCAAGAGATTCAATTAAAATTTCGCTGAATTAATTTTCTTGGCAGTCATACCTTTGTATAGGTAAAACTTCCCATCTTATTTAGCTCGACGTGCAATAGCGTCACCAGCAGGAAATACCGTATTACTCCCATGGCTGAGCAACAGGATGTCAACTCGAACATATTGTTCTGTAAATATTATCTCTACACGTACACGTCGCAAATGATTAATAAGAACGATGCTAGTGTCGCGTTAAATACGCGTTATCTGCTGGATGCGATTGTACGTCCTTTATAAGGCATAATTATAATGCCTCTCGGATTGGTAATCGGCTTCATTAAGAGACGAGGAAGGAAGGTGATTTTAAAGCATCGTGCTCCCTGCATGCAACAGAACATAGACTTCAATATATAGTACTATGAGAGGGCATAATGGAATTTATGCAATTTCCTGTGGCCACACTGCTGGCACCCGTTGGTGTGAGGGCCGGAGGTGGGATGTGCTTGAGTGTTACTCATCACGGCCCTCAAAAGTGTAGCTAACCGCGACTGCCCCGATAACCGCATGGCACGGGCGTCCGTGGTGTGGTCAAGGTTAAATTTGACTCCGGGCTGTTCGTGACCAGCCGGTCAGTACGAAAGTCTTTCCTCAGCTGTCTTCAAGTAGCTTAAGTATTCCGACATTCATGTATTGAATACGAGGCGATGTTTGTTTTTTTTTTGTTGTATTTATTCAGCCCTTGGCCCTTTTGCCTGATCTGTGCTATGGCTGCGTTCACTGTATACTCAGGGATGACGCCCTCGTGCCGGCGTCCTGGGTGTCTGCGGAGCCGGCCCCTCACACGGGCACTCAGCGCAGAGCGTTGGCGGCTTCTGAGCCACTGCCAGTGGACGGGCGGGCGTCCGGGGGAGAGTTGTCCATTCCGGCTGTCGGCATACGTTAAGGGGTTTCTTCTGGCATCTGTGAAGACGCCTATCACCTTCCGATTGCCGGGGAGCAGAGCGGACAAGTTCGAATGTATAAATGGGAAGCTTGAGACACTGATCGGGGAGGGGGCGTCTTCAAAGAAGCACCCCCTCTGTCCTCTGAGTGGCTGGGAAGACCAAGCAGCTGCTTCTGGGAGCTGGGAGGCTGGTCCTGATAAGTCATCTCACTTCCCTTTTATCTCCTCCCCTTAAGAGCATAGGCAGTTCTCCAGAGCTATTACCTGGCCCAGGTCCTGGGAGTGGGGTTAATGATTACCTGAACAGGAAGCTGAGGGGACCAGGCCCCAGCCAGCCTGGCCTCTCTCCTTGCCTGGCCCCAAAGCACAGTGGTGCTTCTTCTCCCTTCACTTGGCTTCTGCAAAAGGTTCCATCCTTACTGGGAGCTGGGAGGGAGCAAAAA